TTTTAAACTAATTTGTCGAGTACGATACTATCGCTTGCTTGGCTCGACAACTTCGCTCGAGTTTCATGAATATTCAAGAACAAGCTGTACTGGACTTCTAAGCTAAGTAAACTTATATCAAATGCACAAACAGAAACACGCGATGCATACGAATACATGGGTAGTGATTAATAATATGTTTAATGCATTTTAAGTTGCAATATTTTTTTATTGAAACATGTTCCTTTTTATCAGTCCTTAAAAGACGTGGCTGCTCCAGAGCCACCTTAAGCCAACACATTGGCGATCACAGGATAAAACGTGGGAATTTAACGTTTGGGCTAAACAAGATGGGTATACCGTCATCAACCGGCTTCTTTATGGCATTTCTCGTAGTCTCCTCCCACGAGCCCACGACATCAAGGGACAGAATAGCATGTTGGATTTTTTACCGTCGCCACCACACGCCAAGAGTACATAAACATAATTATTTGTTTTTTTATTTACTTTGGTTTTGACTATAATTGGCAAGAAATTGTACTAAATATCAAAATATCAAAGGTGATCCTAGCATCCTAATTGATCATTATCATAGGCTTTAGTCTTTATTAATTTATCATTTTATTTACTTAAAATTTAAAAAAAAGATAGAAATGAAGTTTGTACAAAGAATTAATAAATACACTTTCATATTTTAATTAAATGAAATCATAGCCCCATCGAATATCACTATGAAAGTGCAAAAACATAGGCTTTAGTCTTTATTCATTTATCATTTTATTTACCTAAAATTTTAAAAAAAGATAGAAATGAAGTTTGTACAAAGAATTAATACATACTCTTTCATATTTTAATTAAATGAAATCATAGCCCCATCGAATATCACTATGAAAGTGCAAAAACGAATCAAGAAGAGTGACACTAACGAGAATACAACAATATTTCAATATTTCACGCTGCAGTAAAAATTGATGCGCTTAATTTTATTTTTTACTCCAACGAACATTTCGCCCTTGCAGCGACAGATACGGAATATGTGTAGATTTGCTACGCATGTTGCACACATTCGTGGCCGTATTGTGCTATGATTGTGCTCCCCTTTCTTGATCTCTTGTCAAACTTTTATATTATTTCGAGTCTCGTTTATACGTTAAAAGCGATGTCACGGCGTTTGACACGTGTTTAGCGCTCGATTTAAACTTCTATTGTATTGTAGCGAATCGATTAGGGGAATCTATTGAATTCGGGTTAAATGGAATTCGTTCCGTGATTGCGGGGAAAATATTTTAGAATGTGCACTTTTTAATATGCATCACAAAGTGTACTTTTAAATATTCGTCTCATTAACATATACTAAAGCATATTGGAGAGTATCACGTATCATAACAGTGTCCTCAAGACCGAAATTCGGCCTCTGCGGCCAGTCTCAACAGAGACTTAGTTATATGCACAGGACAGGATTATAGTGCCCGGATGTATGCTCAAATACAGGTGCACTCTCTATTGAATCATTGTCGTAGTCCGTCGGGACGGTAATCCAAGACGACCGGCGACGACGAGAGATCAGGCAAGGGAACAACGGCATTACGTGCTTTCCAAGGCACGGAAGTGAATCATGGCCAAATTCCTCACTCCGGGCTGCTCCTTAGAATTTCTTGTCAAAAAAACTCAATAACAAATTTTGGTCTGACCCGGGATTCAAATCCTGACCTGATGATCGCCAATCGTGGTTACGACTACTAGACCAACGAGGCAAAATTTAACACTACAATTGCTGGCTTATTGCTAATTCAGTGATTATCACGCAGATAAACCATGGGCATGATGCCCTTTTCAGTTTAACTTGTTAAGAAACTGAGCTTAGTTTAGTTTAGTTTACGACGGGCTATTTTCCGCAACTCCACGTCTAAGCGTAGAGTTGCGGAAAATAGCCCGTCGTATTTTGCGTGAAAAAACTGAGCTTAGTCGATCAGCAAGATGTAAAGGGTCACGTCTCGAGTACTCTAGTTACGTATCACCAATAAATAACACATTTGTTTCCATTTTTGAGACTAAATCTTATTCGTCGAGAGACCTCTTCGAAAGTAGAAACTTATACTGGTATTTTTGTCTCAGTTACATATTGTAAATAGACGCGGTTCATCAGGGTCTAAGGTTCTTCAATACGACGTTATTACTTTTCTTGAAAAACAAGACCACAATAACGACTCCAAGTCTTAAACGTAACTTAGTCGTAAGCTCATCAGTAAATTATAATTTTTGAATACCAACCAAGGCATTTTACATAACACACAAATTATTTTATGGAATTAATTTAAAATAAAATATTTCTATAGGAAAAACTGTTATAAAAAAGTAAAGTAAAGTTACAGCCTATATACGTCCCACTGCTGGGCTCAGGCCTCCCCTCATTTCTGAGAGGGTTTAGTGCAAGGAAGTGTCCGCCGCGCTGCCCAAATGCGTGTTGACCAACTTCACATGTCTTCGAAATATTTTTTTTCTTATTCCTCAGACATGCAGGTTTCCTCACGATGTTTTCCTTCACCGCCGAGCATGTGGTAAATCAGCACTTAATATTGCAATTAACAATTTCATTGGTGCCGGCGGGGATCGAACCCGGGTTACTCGCGTTCTGTTATATTTACAGCGAGCGTTAACCACTGAGCTACCACGGCTCTTTACTGTTATAAGCTTCGCATTAACTTAGAAGATTAGATATTGACTTTTCAATATATGTCACTGCATCATGCCACGTGCTCGGCGTCGTCGCTTGTCATCCATGTTGACATGTGAATGACAATGAAAGTCGCATTTCGATGACAGCGGGATGTCAAAGTTTACTCTTCAAAAAGAATATCATTTGCAGTCACAATAGTACGAATAAAACCCACTGAGGATTAAAAACTTTATTACATAACTACCGTTGTTAGAGGCTTTGTCTGATTTTGAAAACAAAAAAAAAAGATAATAATACAAAAGTGAAATGATACTGTGTTGTTTATAGATTTTAAAGATTTTTATTTCCATAAAGAGGCTATCGTTTGATTAAAACTCCACTTGGTATTGAGCGGTGATAAGATTTACACATTAGCCTAGAAAGTATTTAATCAATTTTCTAGGCGAATGTCTCTTGCTTTATAGAGTTTCAAAGACTGATGCAGGTAAAGCATTCCAATGCTTTTTTTAAAAGAAACCACACGACGATGAACGATCAATCTTCTTCTTTTATTTATTAATTTATTATATGATGAACTGTGTGTTGTGTTTGGTGACGACTTTTCGCTTTTATTATCGATTTACCTCCTAGAAATTAAAATTAACTTTGTTAACTACTACCATAAACTTTATAAATAATGGTATCAAGTAAATGGAAAACTGAACTAATTTGATCAAAGTCTAAAAAGAAATTTCTCACAAAAAAAATATAGTTAAAACTCCAAAGGCAGTGCCTCATCAAGAACCTAAATTTTAACTTTTGTAACAACGTAAGCCACCTCGAAATATTTATTACTTTATCCAAGATCTGCATGTTCTAAAAAACGTTCACGTTATCACTAATATTAGTTTTTAAAGTTTAATTGAAGTGACAAACCAATACATAATCCACCTAATGGTAAGTGGCTACTTCATGTCTGTCCATGGAAATTATGAGATATACCATAATAACTACGTAACTTTCGCCTCTTCTTATAAAAATACTTATAAAAATGCAATAAATTACCATTAGGGAAAAATCAAGATTGAAAAATTTATCTTAAAAATATCATATTTATAGCATTACGTCGCTGCGCGTGCAGAAATCGCTATGTTTTTTTTAATTTTTTTTTTTGATGCCATTCTGATCTTTAGGTCAATGCTCAATACTCATAGGTTATAAAAACAGATTTTTGTGTAAGATTCATGTATACAAAGTTACGAAAAATAGCCATGTGAGGTTCATACATTCAATGCGCGTCTAATATCAATATGTGCTTTAAATCACATAGCTAAAAAAGTTCATCGTAATAGTAGACTTATGAATTGCGCCTGATATGTAATTCCCTGTACATAGCGATATTTTTCCTGACATGTTCGGACCAGTTCAGTCGTGTAAAGCGCTCGTCGAGCGTCACATAACTGAGATTGTCTATTAAGTTAGTCAGTGTCATTCGAACTGTTCAACAAATCACACAGAAAAATTAGTGCAAGTTATACCTATAATTGTAAATGTAATAACTTTTTGGGATCGTTGATGAACAAATATATAAATATACCTACCAAGTAAGCACCTACATTTTTTTACTAATAAATTCCTCTTAGGGTTGCTTTTGGTTTTAGTTTGCTAAGATTGTGGTGACGTATTTGGAAAGTTTTTCCTGTTTAAACTATTTTTCATTAAAAATGTGTATTACTATTCTTACATAACCAATATAAATTTACTATTTATCTTAGGAAAACCAGTCTTTTAAAAATTGCTTTCAAAAATCATTTTTTATGAACAATAACTAATATTTCCCTAACTAAAGTTGACTTAACATCTTAATGTAATGCTTTACTATGGTACAAGAATTTGAATGAAAGAATGAAATTTTTATCTAAATATCTTAATATTAATTTTGCTATTGCTTACTAACGCTTTATATGTTACCGCTTTTTAGGGACTGAACATGCCAAGATTTTGGAGAAGTAAACAGCTTGTATCGTTATGCGTAGAAGATCAACAGCAATCGATACACCATTTAGCAATGGAGCTAGAAGTAAAATCATCTTCAATATTATTTCCATCACATCCACCATCCAGCTCCATCGATAATTATTCAAGCTGTTGACGAAGGTGAACACGCTGACGTTGGCATGAGTACTTTTACCGAACAATATGTATTTGTACTACAAATGCGGAATTAGCTTCAGGGATTACAGGTACAACTCAAAGTTTAATAACTACTACTACTGTTAATATCAGCATAACATCTGATTCCTGCTTAGAAATACAAAATGATAACGAGGCAAACATTACTAACACACTAGTTCCTGCTGACGTTATGCTGCAGTTGAATGAACAAACTGGATATTTTGAACCGCTCTTTGAAAAAGAAAATATTTGCACTTCCATCCCACAAAATGAGGAGGAAGTGGCTCTTAGTGAGAACGAAAAAAGAAAGAAGGCTCAAAAATTAAGGCTTTTAGGCATGACTTATACAGGGCAACAAGTTGTTAGAGAAGAAGATAAAATTAGAATACAAGAAGTTACGAAACCAAACAGAAAAATGAGAGAAACGCCTTGTGAACATGGAGCGGCTAAAATTTCCGAAAGAAGTTTTGCCTGCGCTGCAATATCCGATAATATGTGCGCAGATATATTTCATTATTTTTGGCAAATCCTTACATGGGATGCTAAGAAAGCCTACGTAAACGGCCTTATCCAACCAAGGCAGATTGTTCGTCGTAGAAATGTCTCCGCAGATGTTAATAAAAAGAATTGCGGGTTTGATTGCTATTTACCGGGGCTTGACGGTATTAAACTACGTGTTTGCAAACAGTTATTTTTAGCCACATTATACTTAAAAAAAGATGTTATACAGTTGTGGATAAGGTCGAAGTTCGACATTGATGTAACAAATAGTGGAGCGATTAACATAGTCAGAAGAGTAGCTGCTGATAGTTCTAATCGGGCTGGTACCCGGGTTCTTAGGTCTGAGTCAGTTATGAAATGGCTTGAAATAATACCAAAGGAACCCAGCCATTACTGCCGAAGCAACACTAGTCATGTTTATGTGGAAGCCTCTTTCGAGTCAATGACACACATGCATACGGTCTACACAGCTTGGTGCCAAGAGAACAACTATTCTGCAGTACAAAGAAAACGGTTTCAGGAAATTTTAAAAGATAATAAAATTTAAATTTTTAAGCCACGGAAAGATCAATGCGATTTGTATGTTGGGCACAAAGAGGGAAACATTCCTGAAGCTATGTATACACTACACATCACGAAGAAAGAGGAAGCCTACTCTGCTAAGTCTAATGCTATTCAGGAAATGTCCGACGATGTTGTGGTTGTATCAATGGATATGCAAAGCGTGCTGCTGTCTCTTAAACTTCACGTTTCTGAGCAATATTATAAAATGAAATTAGCTATGCATAATTATATTTTTTTATGTAAAAATGTCGTTTTATGTAAAAATACTAAGGATGTATATTTATACGTTGGCATGAAGGAGAGGGAGGAATAACAGCGAATAATATTACGAGCTGCATCATTAACTTTTTAGAAGAGTATTGTGGAAACAAAAATAAAGTAATTCTTATTTCTGACGGCTGTGCATATCAAAATAAAAATAAAGTTTTATGCAGTGCGTTAGCTAATTTAAGTGCTGTGAAAGAGTTTACCATTGAGCAAATTATATTAGAGAAAGGGCATACAATGATGGAAGTAGACAGCATCCGTTCCATTCTGGAAAAAAAGTTTAAGGCACCAATTTTTAGATTATTTGTCCAGGATGAGACAATGTAGACCCTCGCAACCCTACGTTGTTCATTATCTAGATTTCAATTTATTTAAAAACTATGAAGAAGTGCCTGGCAATTTTACCACAATAAGACCAAGCAGAAGGACTGGTGATGCCACTGTTAATGATATCAGAGGACTTCTTTACGTCAATGGTGAAGTGCAATATAAAGTACGCCATTCTGATGAATGTGAAGCTTTACCAAAAAGGAGAATTAATAGTAGAGAACCAGTAGCACCTACAAGATTATATAACAGCCCCATCAACATAGATGTAAACAAATTTAATCATCTACAAGGTCTGAAGCAGTACATGCATCGTGACTATCATTTTTTTATGATAATTTAAGTCATTAATTTACCTAACACATTTTTGAAATTTATTTTTCATTCATTACCTAACTACTTTATAAACAAATACTTATTTTACAACATTGCATATATATTTATATATATATATATATATATATATATATATATATATATATATATATATATATATATATATATTTTAATTTTGCTACAGCGGATATTTGTTTATTGTGTCATTTCTTACTATGTGTCTGACAATTTTCTAAATAAATATTATTTTGAAATAAAAATGGTGTTTTATATAATAGCTATGTGAAAAAAAACAGCACATATATAGTAGGCGATACGACTTCCATTTGTCGCTATGTGCTCTGTGGACAGTTAGCGGATATTTATGACTCTAATTATAAACGATATGTGTAGAAATAATCGAATTCTTTTTTTTTTCTAGCTTTTTAATAAGGTATTTGACAAAGATAGAAACGTTAAAATATGTCAATTGTGCTATTACTATTGCCATACAAAAAAGTATTATAATGACTCACACACAACTTGATATAATCAGTTTTTTGTCTCTCCTGAAAAGTAGGGTAAAGCGGGCTACATACGACACGATATCGGTGGCGATCTAGGGTGGAAAGAAATCGGGGCTTTTATCGGGGTAGACCTTACACACGGGCCTGCCTAGCAGTACGCGTTCGGACTTGGAGCGGAATGCATATGCGGTAGAGTTCTTCAAAATACCTCCGACTCTCTTAAAACACCACCGTGTTGGTTTGGCATTAGCCATCTCGGTTAATTTATTCGAAAATAGAAAAAGAGAAGTTGCTGGGTGAAAAAATGGCTCCAAAAGAGATAAAAATTAAGCCACATAAACGTACTAAATGGCCTGTAATCCAAGGACGTGATTAATTTTCTCCGGATGGATGAAGACAGTTTTTATAACCTTCTAGAAATGATTTCGCCACTTATATAAAAACGTCAATTTCTCCTACCTATGCTATTTAGTTATTTCTCCTCTTTGTTCATTTCTGCTTTGGTCAAAATCTTGTTATGTATTACACACAATGAAATAAAATACTTTTGTATAATAATATGTATACTTTTTTTTTTAATGTAATCTTTATTTATGGAGTAAAACTATCAGAAAATAAAATAGCTTATATCTTTTTTTAAACATAAAGAAACCTTTAATTTCGGACATACTCCCTTTTATATAACTTGTTTGTTGATGTGGAGATGGTGAAGGAGTAGAAGTTAGTTGTTGATAAGAGGATGAAGGCACGTAAGAGATCGAAGTGTGGTCTTGTGGAGTTGTAAGAGATAAGAGTGCGGTGTTGTGTTGATAGCGTTGGAATAGGAGTTAGTTGTTGAGTAGAGGCTTTATCTTCTCCTTACTTACATCATACATTCTACTTTACGAACGGCAATAAAAAAATTAGTTTAGTAGGCATTCTTGACCATGTCACTTCGCAAGGTCACAGGCTAGGGTGGATATGATTTGAATTTCGATAAAATTTCAATTAATTTATTTATTTTATTCACTTTTTTTTTGGTTTTTTGTAAAATATCAGTGCCATAGGCTTCTACTCCGTTTATATGATTAAAATATAAAAATTTTGTTATATAAAAAAAGGTCATTCAGTATCACTGTTTTGTTAACTTCCTTCCGCGAGGGTTGCCGGCAGCGACTGCCAAAAGAAATCGGGTCGATGCGCCTACACACACGCAGTAAGGAGGGGGCGGTGCCCCGATCTAGGAAGCATCGGCTGATCTAGGAAGCATTTTTGCTCCTGCTAGCCGATTAAGGAGGCGATATCGGCCACGACTTAGGATGGCCCTACATACGACACGATTTAGAGGCAATCTAGGAGGCATCCCCACTACTCCACCCTAGATCGCCACCGATATCGTGTCGTATGTAGCCCGCTTAAGAACACATAACGAAAAATGCACGCGCAACGACGCCAAATTATTTGGCTTCCGCGTACCTTTCATAAGAATGACAAACATTTTACCAAACAACATTTTAATTTTAAAATGTATTAAATTAATATGAAAACTAAAGTTACTTTTCAATAGTTTGTTTACATTAGAACCAAATCGTTTGTTCAAGGCACGCCGATAAAGCAACCAATGGGGTCGTTTTCCCCCATTTTAATATTACAAATATTATACTGATTTCATAGTAAAAACTTAATTTTATCACAATAAAACACCTTAAAGAACAGAGTAGTTTTCTATTAGTTAAAATATTTTAGAAACTGATTAGCAGTTTCTTAATTCCTCTCTTCAGAGAACCTCTACAAACTTCCATTAAAACAATTTATCTCTTTATAACTGTGCAAGTATAGTATAATATATTTATAATATTCTATTTATTAAACAAGTAGGGATGGTAAGCACACAAACCACTTGATGGTGAGTGATTTGTGTTGAAATTATAAGAAACACTGCAGTATTATCCTCTTAATATATTTTAGGCTGGTATTCTGTAAAAACGTGGTTCTTTCCGCGTTAAAACTCAGAACTATTATTCATAAAATATTCCCGCCGCGTATCAATCAAACATACCACTGATGGTCTGTAGTGTTCTGCGGCTTATTGCGTCTAACGAGCTTCTAAGGGATCGGAATGCACTTGGCACTCCAAACGACCAATTCAGTAGTCGAGTGTGCTATTGATGGTATACCTTACAATTTGGGAGAGATCTATGTCAAAGCGAATTGTTAAATTCTAATTAGCTTAATTATATATATAATTATAATTATATCTAAATTATAAATTATGCTTAATATACTTTTCTAAAATTCAAGATTCTTTGAACAGAACATGTAGGTCTAGAAGTCTGTCTGTCTGTCGAAAAGAAAGCCATTTATAGTAAATAAAAAAAAATACTTTTGCTACTAAGATTTTACATAAAGACTTCGAAAATGTAAGAACTGTCATCTAAATGGTTTGGAGTACTCCTAATGATAAGTGGATGCTGCGGCCCATAGACATCTACATTTGTCCTCGATTAAGAATCAAAATGCTAAATACCTTGTCACCTTTGAGGATTAATATGGAATGCCTCATTTTCAGTAAAATGAGTCTACGAATCTCTATACTCATCATACGAAACAACAGAATTAAGCTGCCCTTTCACGCTGTTATTATGTGAGAGCGTCGTTCTTCCCCGGACAAGCCAACCATTCGTATAACGGCGCCTCTACACGTTGGCCAACACAGTGGCGAATGTAGTGGCCAATAGCATTGGCCAACGTGTAGACGGGGTGTTTGGGCTTCATTGGTATGTATTGGAACGATGGCCCGCAAGTTGGCGCGAGATCCGTGTGGTGTCGGTTTTTTACAAAAGATCAAAGGATTGTTGGCAGAGTTTGGTCGCCGCGTCCACACGTTGGCCGCGAGTTTAGTTTGCTACAAGCTCCCAGAGTGATTACACGCATCTGATTAAAATTTTATATTCACGCTTTGTAGGGTGGATGACCCAATTACCAGTCTTTTAGTGCCAATTTCAACTTTAAACATTCCTACTACTTTAATTAGCGCGATTTAATTATTTTTAAACATTTTTTAATCGATAAGCTATTTATAAAAAAAAAAATAATGAACATTTATTTACAATCAGATTATTACGAGAACAATTTTAAAATGAAAAAAAAATGAAGCACGTCGTTTATACGTGGTAGAACCATGCAGTTATATTAGAAGTATAGTTGTAGCACGAATGGGTCGGTTCGACCGGAGAAGGACCACGCTCTCACAGAATATCAATTAAAATAGTAGCTTAATGATGCTGTATTTCGTATAGTGAGTGTAGAGAACCAGAGACACTTTTTAAAGGAAACGAGGCATCTTAGTCATGTTAGTTCATCTTAGTCCTCACGGGTGACAACGCATCTGCATTTTGATTCGTAATCGAGGATAGATGTAGATGTCTATGGGCCACAGCAAACACTTACCATCAGGTGAACTGTGTGCTCGTTTGTCACCCTATCCTTACATCAAATGTCTGATAGAAAAGCAAGTACATGTTTTGCTAAACTTTAAAAACAAAACCCAATTTTAAAACATAGACTA